TCTGGACCTTCTCACAAGACCTGTCCAACAGATGGTCACCTGCTAAGAAACTGAGAACTCTTAGAACTCCTCACCGGAAAATCTGGGCCTTGCGGCAATAACCAGCCCTGACCTGTTACATCGGGATCCCAGCGGACCCTAACCAAGCTGTAGCAGTGAAAGGCCCATGAGCCAAGCTCGCAAACTCTCCGTACAAGCCGGCATTGGCCTCGTCCCTCTGAGCACTGCTGAGGCCTCCCTCTCTGGGAACACTGCCTTAGCCACAGGCTGCGACAGGGATGTTTGGGAGCCAACATTTGGCAACAGATTTATGCTGAAATGGGTGTAAGAATGTATCTGGAGGATGCGATGAGATGTGTATCTGGCTGGTGTAGTTCGGTGGATTGACTGTCATCCCGCAAACCAAAAGGTCGCCAGTGTGACTCCTGGTCAGGGCATGTGCCTGGATTATGAGCCAGGTTCCCAGATGGGGCACTGATATTTCTTTCCCAGTTTTTTTCCCTCCCTTCCTCTCTCTCTGAAAATAAATAAAATCTTTAATTTTTATTTTTTTAATAGTGCTTCCCTTTGGGAGAAACACCTCAGAGAGAACTTTTCACTTTTCAGTTGATATATTTTTATATTATTTTTGCATTTGAATGTTTTAACTATGCATGTGTTTTGCTATTATTACTATTATTTGTAAATGGCAATCGGGATTATCTGATAGTGAGATTATGGACTCTTTTACAAATATATTTGGTATTAAAAGTTTTTATGAAAACAGAAAAGGCTGTGGTCAATAACGCCAGCTATCTCAGAAAGGGAAGGACTTAAGAGCTGCTCTTTCTTTTTTATTTTAACTTTGAAAAATTATAATATACATACAGAAAAGCATACACATCATAAGGGTACCATTTGATGATTTAGCACAAACTGAACACATTCAAGAAGCACCACTACCCAGAATGTTACTGGTACCCCAAAGAACCCTCTCCAGGTACAGCCCCTCCCCCTCCCCTCAGGTAAACGCCCCCCTAGACTTTCCCATGGCGCTGAAATCATTAGGTATGTATTCACTTTCCATTAGACTCTTTTGCAAAACATTAAGATTACAAGAAGAAGTTGCATTGTTGCAAGTACCAGCGTGTTCATTCCTGGGGATCTCTAGTATCCCAGAGTATAAACATACCACAGCTTCCTTGTCCATTCTACGGCTGATGCACATTTGGGGAGTGTCCGGTTTGGGCTATTATGAACATTCAGGGGCATGCCTTCGGATACGGACCTAGGAGTAAAGCTGCAGGGTTAGAATACATATGGGTGTCCAAGGATGGCAAACCATTTTTCAAAGCAACTACAACTACACTCCTACAGCAGGGTGTGACTTCCGATTGTTCCATGTGACAGCCATTTGGTACCATCAGTCCTTCTAATGTTTGAAAGATTTTCCTGTTTATTAGAAATTTAGATGCAGTGTTTTCTATAGTGTCTGAGTGGGTTGTATTTTTCTTTCTTTCTTTTTGTAGGAGTTCTTTACACATTCTGGATATGAGCCCTTGGTCATTTGTAAGTGTTGCAAATATTCCCTCCCACTCTGTGGCTTGCTTTTTCACTCCCTGAATGGTATCTTTTCAGAAAGAGAAGTTCTTTATTATCATTTAATTGGATTCATTAATCTTTGCCTTTTGGATACAGCTTTAAATTTTGTTTTGTTGAAGGCTTTGCCCATCTTAATAAGGTCATGAAGATGTTGTTTTATGTTTCCTTTTGAAAACTTATGTATTTTTACCTTTCATATTTAGAGGTACAAAAAAACCTGGTATTTGTTTTGTGTATGGTGTTAAATAGGGGTCAAGTTTAATTTTTCTTCCTAAAGCTACTTAACTGACCATATGTGCATGAGTTTGTTTCAGGATATTATACAATTGTTTTTGTTCTGTTTGTCTATCCTTATACCAATTTCACACTGCTTTGCTGCCTCTTTATAATTAGCCCTGGTATTTAGTAGAATAAGTTCTCCCATTTTGTTCACAAAGTTGTCTTGGCCAGTCTTGTTCCTTGGCATTTCTGTATAAATCACACACACACACACACACACACACACACACACACACACACACACATGCAGTATGTGTGGAGGGGCTGCATTTACATCTGTAATAACAGTTTTCATTTCTCCCTTTTGACTCTTGTAATTTTTATTTCTTGAAATATTCCCATGGCTAGTTTGAAAAATATAGTGTTGAGTATATTCAGGTTGATGGGCATCCTTGCAGATACTGGACATTCCTGTCTCAGTGATAAACCCAGGGAAAAAGCTTTCGACATTTTGCTATTATAGCATTCCATAATGCCAGTTTCATGCTTTCTGAAGATGCTATTTATCACATTAAGAAAGTTCCTACTTATCCATAAGATGATGTTTTTGTTTTTAATGAATTGATGTTGAATTTTATCTAAGGCTTTTAAAGATATGACTTTTTCCTTTGTTCTTTTTAAATGATGAATAGCATTGATTTTCAAATAGCAAATCAAACCCAAGTTCCTGAAATAAACCCCACTGTTTATCACGCACTCACTATCTTCCTTACTCACTGATGCATTCAGTTTGCTTTGGGTTCGGGCTTTTGTACCTACGTTCATGAATGAGTTTGCCTTTAATTGTTTGGGGTTTTGTCTCCTAATATTCTTATCAGATTTTTGTTAGTATCGAGGTTATAAAAGAAGCATGGAAGTGTTCTCTCCTTCTGTCTCTGGAAAAGTTTGCATAATACTTTTGTTAATTCTTCCTTAACTATTGGAAGAATTCACTGGATAAGCCATATAAGCCTAAAGATTTTTTTGGTGGGGGAGACCAGTTTTATAATTTCAGATTTAATTCTGTTTTATATAGAAGACTATTTAGGTAGCTATTTCTTCTTGTGCTCATTTTGTCAAGTTGTATTTTTCTAGAAACTTACACATTTTATTTACACCTTCAAATATATTGACATGGTTGCTCACAGTATTCTCTTACTATCCGTTCAATGCCTGCTTTACCTATCATGACAGATTTACTTTGGGTTAACTAGTCTGTATCACCGCATCCCCCCGTCCATCAGCTCTGACCCTGCTAGTGGGAACAAAAGCAGGTGGGGACAGCTGACTGCTGACTGCTCTTCAGAAGCACCAGACTGGGTTAAAAATGCAGATTTCTGGTTCTCACCCCGGAAGTACTGAATCAAAATGTAGAACAGGCAAGGTGTGTTTTAAGCTCCGTAGGTAATTCTGATGGACAGCTAACTGAACCATCGATCTAGACCCTATTTTCTCCTCTACCTCTGAAAGGAAGGCACAGAAAAGGGGGATGAGAAAACACCTTGAGGATCAGTCCTTTTTCTTAGTACTAGCGTCACAACAGTGCCTTGTGCCCCAGGGCCCAGGTGCCATGACGCAGGTTAGAGTCCTACCCATAGGTGTCTGTCTGTCTACACTATGCATGTCCAAGAGGCTCACCCCAGTCAAGACCAACCCACCACCTCTCGCCTGGTGCCTGGTGCCCCGAGGCCAGCAGCCCTAACCCCCTAACTTGGCTCTGTGCCCTCTGATTCCCGGCAGGGCATTTCTACTGGACACGCAGATGGTTTCCACAACTAGGTGAGACCAGTGATGATCTCTCAGAAGCCAAGCAACGTGTGTGCTGAAGCTGCTCTGTCCCCATGCGTGCTGCTTTCTGTCTGTGTTTGACTGTAAGTCACTACCATTACAGTGACATTGGTGGCGGGGTAAACTGCATTTTCCTAAAGTCAGCTGGCATAGTAGGAGCCCCATTTCCTGTAGAAAAAGAGGTTACTTTCAGATCAACACCAAAGCCCTAAAGGATGTCGCAAGCACGCTCATCTACCTTTAAGAGGCAGTTCAGCGCCCTAGCTGTATCAGAGATGGTGGGAACTGGCATAGCAATTTTACCTTCAACATTCAAGTATGAAAACAACTGGAGGGTAGAGCAGCAAATAAGCAATTTTTTTACCTTAAGAAGACAAGAGACGAGACCAAAATAAATCAAAGAAAAAACTCTGCTAACTAAAAACATTAAAAAATAAAATCTTAATGTGCTCTTCTTCCACCAAAAAAGAATAATATAATATTAATAATTCAACAGTTATGCCCTTAACTGAGTGGAGGCACTTTAGATTATAAAATAGCATTATACATACAATGCATTATACTCATTAAAAGCAAATATTATGTAGAGAACAATTCCTCAAAAGGGGATTCTGTTGGGGAAAGAATCCTGAAGGGTTTCAGTTTGGGTTTTGCTTTAACCCGAGGTTTCGAAAATATCTTTTTAGGAAAAGAAAGTGCAGATACCTTCACTGCGCACTGTGCTGTCCTGCTCCGGGGCCGCAGCCCGTGCCGGCGGAGCCTGTTTGCTTTAAGGTCCCACAGTCCTAGCTCTCACTTGGCTTTAACTACGGGCCCTGAGTGAGACAAGATGAAGGTACACAGTATGAGCACAAAGTACGGAAGACTGGGGGTTGGGGGTAGGCTGCATACTCTGCACAGGCTCCTCCTCTGCCAGGCTGGGTCTCTCCTCAGTCGGCAGAAACCTAAGACGTCCCTGGGGCCCATTCTGCCTGCTGGGCTCAGGAGACATGTCCCTGTGGGGACCCAGAGCATCTCCTCTCCATCCCCCCGGAGATGCAGGGGGCCCCAGGGGCTGTCACTGACTCTAGCACCTGCCCTTGGGCAGTCTTGGGGGTATTTCTAGCCTCTCTGATCTGTTTTACTATTCTCCACTCTGACTGGGCTGGACAGCAGAGATTAAGTAGAGTGCTCAGGCTTTCTGGGTGATAATGGCTCAGTGAGAAAATGGTACCCCCGCCCCCCACACACACAGGCCCCCCAGGTGGGCCCTACGGCATGCTGGGTAGCTCTGCTGGCCTGAAGAGGGTGCTTAGGGCAGCAGCAAGAAAGGTCCCCTTCTAAAGAAAAGAATGAGAGACCCACACAAAAGGAGGAAACACAAGGCCCAAACTCCCTCCCCTAGGCCATTGGGCCCGAGGGAGGGGGGAATCTGAGAATTACCCTTGGGGACTGATAAATAGTTACCGAATATAATGGGAACAGCCTTTTGGGTATTTGTATTTCCAGGTATTTCCAGATACTTTTAATGGGAATTCTTTTAAGACAGTGGTTGTCCGTTCAGGCCATTCCATGCCAAGCCTAGCCAGAGTTTCTGTCTCGCAAACAGAGCTGGAATCGTAGTGAAAAGAGGGTCAGGTGACAGTTGCACCACAGCTGACAGCAGGCACTTGCAGTCCTGCTGTCTCTTGGATCCCTGCTCCAGTCCCGTGAGGTGGGCGGGGCAGGCACTACTATTCCCACAGGAGAGATGAAGCGCCAAGGCATGGGAGGGTTTAAATGACAAGCCAGGGACAGGAAGTGGCCCAGGGGCCTGGAAGCCTGGTCTTCTGGTTTGCTGCTTCTGTCCCTGCTCTACTGCCACCTCTAATTCATTTTTGGGAAATGAGCTGCTCTCTGTGGCCAAACATACCAGGAGAAAGTGGGTTAACTTAGCACACTTCTCACACCACCTTAGGATGAGCCAGGCAGGAAGGCGAAAGGCCCATAGCAAAGAGAGTTCCTGAAAAGGCCAATGTCTCCAATGAACGAACACAACAGTTAGAACCAAAACATTTCTCTGGAGAGACCTTTGAAATCTTTGACCAGTCTGAGTCCTAACTGCAGTAAATCCATGGAAACACTTATATTTAACATTTTAACACAATTCAACAACATTTTGTTAAATACATTTGAAGGGGGGTTAGAAAGAGGAAGGGCAGAATTCAGGGTCCCTGGGAGTCCTGTGGGCCACCATGACGAGGGGCAGCACTTCCGGCTCCCAGCAGTCCTCACCACACAGGGTGCCCAGGACCTACGTGGGCTTCGAGCTAACGGCCATGCTGGCCATTGGGAATGAGGTTCCTGTCGGTCCCAAGTCCATTCTTCAAACAGTCTTTCTCTTTGCTTTCGGTGGCCTCTTCCTTCTCCTCCTTCTCTTCTTCCTCATCCTCTTCTTCATACTCCTCCTCATCATCACTTCTCACATCCTGGATGTTCTAGACAAAGGAAAGAATGGGCTATGAGTGACAGCCTTCTAGCAAGTCTTGAGCGAATAAGCAAACCAGTGGGCCCAGTTCACAGGTATGTCCACTTTCAAACAAAACCCACTGTCTGAACAATGAAACATTCACTGAGACAGAACACATCATGAGTCACAAAACAAACCTCAACACACAGAACTGAAACTATGCAAAGTGTGTTTTGGGTCATAATAGAATTAAACTAAGAGTCAATATAAAAAATGTAATAGGAAAATCTCGAGAACTTGGAAAGTAAACAATACACAAACAATGAATCACAAAGCACATTTCAAAAAATATTTTTAAATATTTTGAACTAAAATGAAAACACATTTTAAAATTTGTCAGATGTAGCTAATGTAGTGCTTATAAGAATATTTATAGCATTTTAAATGTTTATATTAGAAAAGAAAAAAGTTTTAAATAACTTGAGCTTCCACCTTAAGAAGCTGGGGGGGGGGGAAAGAGCAAAGTAAGCCCAAAGAAAGCAAAAGGAAGAAAATGGTAAAGGTAAGATGTCAATAAAACCAGAAACAGTAAAAAAAAAAAAAAAAGCTACAAAACCAAAATCTGGTTCTTTGAATATATCCATAAAATTGATAAATCACTAGTGAGGCTGACCAAAAAAACAGGGAAGGCACAAATTATCAGAAAATAGGAAGGGGAAATGGCTGTCGATACCACAGACATCACGCACACACAAAAATAACAAAACACTACGTACAACTCTCTGGATATATGTTTTATAATTTATATAGATGGACCAGTTTTTCAAAAACTACAAACACCAAAATTCACTCAAAATGATATTATAGGAAAGCCAAATGATCATATAACTATGAAAAAATAAATTTGTTGTTTAAAATCTTCTGAAAAAGAATTATATCAAGTCCAGATGGTTTCATTGGCAAATTCTGTGAAATGTATAAAGAAGAAATAATACCAAATCTCCACAATGTCTTCCATAAAACATAAGAGGGAAAACATCAATTTTTTATGAGACCACAATTACCCTGACACCAAAACCAAAGACCATGTAAGAAAAGACAACTGCAGACCAATGTGTCTCATAAACATAAACATAAACATAAACATAAACATAAACATCCTCCACAAAGTATTCCAAGTTAAAACCAGGAATGCATAAACATAATAATACACCACAATGAAGTAGGACTTGTCCCCATAATACAAGGCCAGTACAATATTTAGAAATCAATTAACGTAATCTATTATATTAATAATCTAATAAAGGAAAAATAAATGATTATATCAACTGATGCAGAAAACTGTATGACAACATTTAACTTTCATCCACAATAAAGACAAAAACCTCAGCAAAGAATGGAAGCTCACATCACACTTAACAGTGACTAACTGAATGCTTTCCCCCAGGCACAAGGCAAGGATGTCCACTTTTAACACTCCTGTTCGACATTGTATTGGAAGTCTTAGTCAATGCAATAAATCAAAAGAATAAATGTCAAGCAGATTGTAAATAAAGTGCCCCTACTTGCAGATGACATGATTACCTATAAAGAAAAATCCAAAGAATCTTTCCAAAAACTCTTAGAATTAAAAAGTTTAGCACTAAGCCTGCAAAATATAATATTAACACAAAATCACACACACACACATACAGTATTGATTTCTAAACACTACTGCAGCACTCAGAAAAATGTCCTCAAAGATATTAGGCCCGCATTCCTGGAACTCGTGAACATTCCCTCACATGTGATTAAGTTAGGGCCTTGGGATGAGAAGATTACGGCAGACGAAGCTTTGACACAGAGGAGGCGAGTAGGAAGACAGGGTAGAGAGTGAAGTGATGGAGCCACAAGCCGAGGGATGCTGGCAGTCACTAAGAGTTTGAAGATGCAAAGAACAGATTCCGCCCCGGAGGTCCCTGGGGGGAGCCAAACCCTGCTACACCTCGATTTCGACTCAGAACTGAACATAGACTTCTGGCCCATAGGAGTGTAAGAAAGTAAGTTTCTATTGTTTTAAGACTCTAAGTTTGTGGTGATTTGTCATAGCAGGCACAGGAAACTAACACAACTAGCAATGTCCAACTAAAGGCTGAAATTTAATAATCAGTAATGTTTACAATAGTTCCCAAAATAAAACACTTAGGTATAAGTATAACACAGCATATATAGGATCTATATGGAAAACCTCCAAAATTCTGTTGAAAGAAATCAAAGAGCTAAATAATTAGAGAGACATACTACATTCATTGGTAAAAAAATTTAACATAGTAAAAGTGTTAATTATCCCCAAATTGACTTATGGATTCCACAAATATCAAAATTGCAGCAAGTTTTCTTGTACATATAGACAAGCTGATTCTAAAATTTATATGGAGTCAAAGGAACCAGAATGTAAAACAGCTAAAACAATTCCAAAATAAAAGAGTTGAAGGATTCAAAGTACCCAATTTGAAGACTTACTATGAAGTTACAGTAACCAAGACTAAATAGTATTGCACAGAGACAAACACACAGATCAACGGAACAGAGAACCTAGAAACAAACCCATGCAAATACGACCAACTGAGTTTTGACAAAGGTGAAAAAGCAATTAAATGAAGAAAGAATAGTCTTTTCGACAATGGCTGAAACACTGAGAAATCCATCAGCAAAAGATTAATCTCTGATTGGAATGTCATACTTTATATAAAAGTCAACTCAAAATGGATCACAGATCTAAATATAAAACAATAAAACTTTTAGAACAAAATCCATGACCTTGGGCTGGGTGATGATGGGTTCTTAGACATGGCACAAAAAGCCTATTCCATTAAAAAAAAAACTTCATGAAAATTAAAAATTAGTACACTATGTAGAGAATCAGAAGACAAGCTGAAAACTGGGAAATAATATTTTCAAATCTCATATGTAACCTGTATACATAATAAAGAATTCTCAAAACTCAACAAGAAGGAAAAAACAAAACCATTTAAAACTGGGCAAAAGATGTAAAAATAGACGGTTCTTCAAAGAGGACACAGGATGTCAAATAAGCTTATGGAAATATGTTCAACCTCATTGGTCCTTAGGAAAAGACACATTAACAATATGATGCAACAGAACTACAGATCTCAGCCAATAGAACAGCTGAAAGTAAAAGCACTAAAAGAACCAAGTGCCAATGAGGAGACAGAGTGGCTGGAAGAAAACACACGCATTGCTGATGAAAAGACAACATGGTACAGACGCTTTGGAAAACAGCTTGACAGCTACTTATAAAGTTAAATATATCTTTGGTGCATATCTCAGCAATCTTTTCTCCAAGTATCTACCCTAGAAAAATGAATGTTATATTCTAACGAAACCAAATGTTTCTAACAGCTCCGTTCATAACTGCCGAAAACTGGAAGCAACCCCAGTGTTCTTCGACCAGGCCCATCCACACAATGAAATACTGCTTACTGATGAAAAGGAACAGACTATGGACATTTATAAGGTGCACGAATCTCAAAGGCATGCTGAGTAAAAAAAGTTAGTTTCAGAAGGTCACCTCCTCTATGATGTACTATGGGGATGGAGGAGAGGTGAGTGTCTGCCAGGACCTGGGGTGGCAGAAGCAGGTATTTGGGGTGATGGAATCCTTCTGTACTCAGGTTATGGTAATGACCGCACAAATCTGTGTCTGTGTTAAAATGCATAGACTGCCCACAGAAAATGAGAATCTGTTTTACTGATAAGTTTTAAAATAAACCTTAAAACTACTTCTTTTTAGAAAACCATCAATATGATTTTCCCAGTAAACATTGCCAGAAGACTTTTGCTGTTGGTAATTAGGATGTTTACTCTTTTCTTCATGCAGGGACTCCTTCGAGGACAATTCTTAATCAAGAACTATGTTTCTCCTCTTCTCTTGTGGTGTTCTCAAAGCTGGGAGGAAAACCCTTGGAAGAATCTCATTGCTCCTGCACAAGGAATTGCGACAGATTGGACTTCATTGTGAAAGATAACAGATGGTGCAACTTATTAAGACAATACTGAGAACTCAAGCCCTGGGCGAGGCAAGTGTCAGGCGTGATCCCTCACCCTCCAAACCAGCTCCCAAGCATCTCTATTGAACCCAGACTAGGGGAAAAAAAACCCAACAAAACATGGACAGAGGCCGTTTCCTCACACATCGTCTCTTAAGGTGACATCCACGACCACATGAGTTATTTTTTTCTTTTGTGACCCGCAGATTAAAACTGACCACTTGTAGAGGTTTTCAGGGAGAGGGGAGCATATGTAACCAAATACCTCCCTCTGTACACAATCTCCACACAAACCTGGCTTTCGTAAAGGACCAAAGCCTGCCACACATTCTGCTGGCTTAATCGTGGAAATTCACTTCACAGGTTCTGCTCTGCCCATCTCCACTTTTCCACAAAAACACAGAAAGGGTCTCAGAATACACAGACTCATCAAAAACGCTGAAGAATAAACTTGGCGTCTCATCAGTTAAGATGCATCTGAGAAAGGCACCCACTCTCTGATGTACTGGGATCCGGGGTCACAGGGCTCCCCTGCAGAGGGAGTTGGCCAGGAAAGGGCCTCACTTGGCTGACATTTGCTTTCATGGACAGGGCCCCTTGGGCCTTCTTTTCCTTTCTCAAAAAAAATTTTTGTAGGGGAAATTTGAATCAGAACAAAGAAACTGATTTCTCTCCAGAAAAGCAGCTCTCCAGGACTTGCAGAGCCACTTTGGCTGAGAAATAAGCTGGTGCTCAAGAGTGCCCCCCATCGCCCTGAGCCACATCCTCCAGCAGCCTCACCTCGAGGAAGAAGTCCTGGACTACATGGAGCCCTTTGGAAACTTATGGCATCTCAGAGTTACAAAGGGTGGGGCACTACTGACTTCTAGGGAACAGTGGCTGGGGCTGCCGGCCATCCTCCAACATGCATGACGTCTAAATGGGCTGCCAGACTGGCATGTCGGCGAAACCCTGTTTATAATTATCCAAGCCCAGAATC